GCCCCCAAAAGCAAAAAAAGGAAAAAGTGGAAAAAAAAACTTAAACAATTTTTTAGGAAGCAAACAAAAATAATTAAAAACAAACATAAAAAACATAATAAATTATACTCCTAACAGAAAAGAAAAAAAGGTTCATAGTGGTTGCCCTAAAGCAGCAAGGGAAAAATGAGAAGCATTAAAATAAAACAAAACAATTATTCTCTGCGTAGTAAATTTATTCCTAGCGGTGTGTGTGTGTTGCTGCAGAGACGAGGGCAAGTGTTCCACACTGAGGCCGCACACACCTTACGCAGCCGCAAAGCCCCACATTCCCAGCAGAAGAAGCAGCGGCAGCAGTCCGCTCCCAGCAGGCGCATTGGCTCGCACACCCTCAATCCGAGGGATATGCCTCCTTTCCGTTCCATCCTCCACTTGGGTTTCCGGACCTCTCGTCGGAACGGGGATCCTGTCCTTGATTGCAGTCATCTCAGTGGAATTCAGTGGGCGGTTGTACAAAAAGACGTTCTTCACCGTCACATCAGTTTTGTGGCCGGCATCCTCGCCGCACACGCCAAAGCAAAAGCGTACAAGCTCAAGTGGTGTCTCACTTTTTAACGGCACTTCTTCTTCCCCCAGCGACTGACCATCAATGTACACAAAGACCTTTCGGCCTTGCAGCATGAGTGCCACTTGGTGTTCTTCCTTTGGCTCCCAAGTGCTGCTTCGTGTTTTTGTGTTGTTGTTGAACATCGTCTCCCACTTGTTATTCGCTGTATACGACAGTCCCATGATATGAGTGGAATTATTGTCCGCCATTGTCGCAGTCAGTAGAGGTGTGTTCCCACTCGGAGTCACTTCGATGATCACCGACGCTACAAGTGTGAAGTTGTGGCTCAAGGATACATGACGCACATTATCATCCGGAATGTTCACGGACCATGATACCCCGGAGCTATGTCCCGTCAACTGAAATCCATCCTTGACCTTCTTTGCATTAGGCGTCACCGTTGCATTCAGGCAAAGATACTCGTCGATCCACGTGTCATTGCTGGCCGCATCGGACAAAGCTGCCACCAGACCCGCCGTGGGTATAGACAAGCTGGAGAAGAAGGCGTCCTTTTGCGCCCAGGTCTTCAGGACAGAATTGATCGTACTTACTTCGTCCTTTAGGCGAAAAAGCGACAAGGCACTGTCTTCACTACTGCCCCTCCGTTGTAACAGATGCAACTTGCCATCCGAGTACATCAGGCTGCCGGCGAACTCCCGCTCCACAGCACTGCTCATGCCAAGCGGTCCAAAATAAAACGAACGGTTGTTGTCCGTGACCCAAAGGTAGAGCGCTCTTTCCCTTTTCTCCCCCGAGAAGTCTCCTCTCTGTGTGTACAGCATGACCTTCCTGCCGTGAATGGTCGCGGTGATGAGGGCTTCCACATAAAAGCTCCGATCCAAAATGGCGTTCAATTTTGACTTAATCCACATGCCTGGGAGTGTCCCAATGGCCTCCGTCCACGTTGCCCCCAAGTCACGCGACTCGTACACCCTCTGGCCATACTTGCAATTAACAATCATGAGAAGTGATCCATCCCATTCGGTGATGCGGGGGTTAAGGCATTCCGCAGGGGAAGCGCCCGTTGAGAGCAACCATTTGTTGCCGTCGTCCTTCGAGTAAATAATCATGGAGTAATAGCCACCATTTCCGCTCTTCGCCCTCACAGGAAACACAAGCATGCCATCCTCCATCAGAACACCTGAGCCACCAGAAGCAAGAAGCCTTGTCAAGTTACCTTTGTGAGCAGCTATAGTACTCTCGTTCAACGGAGACCTGATTTGGCCCCATTTGATACGTTCAGTCGGCTTGCTGCTCGTAGGCTCCCTCACATCACCCACAACCAGTTCAAGTTTTGTTTTGTATCCGCTATATGTCCGATTTCCAACAATTTCTTTGTGCTCATAATCGCTTCCCGAAAGAAGAAACACCTTATTGCCCTTCGTGGTGGTTGTGGGGCTGTAAAAAAAATCCACACGATTATCCGCTCCATCCTTTGTACCAAGCACGGTGTGTGCCTTCCATGTACTTTCATTCACCTTGCCAACAAGAGTAGACCAATCCCACGAAGAGTCAATGTACTCCGCAACAATGTCAGAAGAACTTTCCTTTTTTCCTCTGTCAGCATTAAAGGTATACACGCGACCTTCGGCAAAAGCAGCAATTACTCCACCAGCACTGACGAGAGAGGGTGAAACAAATGAATGCCTCTGAGTCTCTTGAGACGTTCCACCTTTCGGTACAACCTGCGTCTGCTTCGGCACAAATAGATCGACTCCCTGCAGCTTATAAATATTCCTCAAATCACTCTTCCCATTATTCCCTCCAGCGGCCGCAGCTCCATAGGTGCCGCAGCACATCATCACGACGAGGAGAAGCAGCACAGCGGAAGTAAACACACGCCGGGACATGTTGGGCCTCTGCGGCTCACTCTCTCCTCCTTCCCTCCTCCTTCCGCTGGATCCGGTCACGCGGCGACGGTGGTGTGTACGGGGTGCCTTCACTGCAGCAACACGTGAGAGCATGTAAATATGTGTTTGTGGGCGGTGTGTGTGCTTGTTGGTTCTTTCAGTGCCTTCGAATTTCACAGTAGCGATTGGCGCTTGTTTGCTTGCTTTCCTAACGTGTCTGTCCAAGAATTGGAGAAGGCAGCGGCGGCAGAAAGACAACAACAACAGCACACACCGCCACCACTCACAGCAAACCACAACATCAACATCCCCGCAGCCATAATTCTCCAGCACCCCAAACAGCATAAATAAATGTAAAGTATTTAAAAAGCGAGCAGCCTCCCAGTTGGGGGCCGCGGGTAGTGGCGCTGCAAAAAAGACAAATGAGAGGGAGCCACGTGTGCAGTGAGGGAAACAAGCGTTGCACTGCACACAAAGCCAATTAGTGAAAATAAAACCACAATGCGAGAGTTGCACTGCAACGGCACGGCGGCGTGATGCCCCGTGGGGAGCATCGATGCAGACCAGCATGTCACGTGAGGGAAGAGTTGCTTCTCCCGCTGAGCAGAGAGGAAAAACGGCCTCAGCGTCCCAATGATGAGAGGTCGCCTGCACCTCCTCGAAGCACCTGCAAGCTCGGCAGACAAAAAGATGCCGATGACGCTCAGCTGCACGCATGACGGCCGTCGCACCATTCACAATGGCAACCGCATCCTGTGGCACCACACGCCGCAGTCGATGTGCACAGCATCCGTCTCCCTCCCTCCTGTCCCTCTCCCTGAGAACTCATCGGTGGACGTGGCACACCCACCGACATGTCAGAAATCACTTGTGTTCATTCTTCCCTCGCACATCGCACAGCAGCACCGCCAAACGCATGCCACTCCTCCTTTCGCGGATTCCCCTCAGACACGCCTCCCGCCACATTCATTAGCCCACAGCCACACAGTCCGTAAACGCCACGCAGCCGCCCCGCATGATGGAGCCGCACACACCAACACGGCGCCTCGCCACTCGGCGCAAGCAGTGTCTGGACACACAAAACAGGTTGCCCCAGACAACGACAGCCCCCTCCAAGCAGTGAGACAGGACTCGTCAGTAACAATCAAACAACCAGCCCTTCGTCTCCTTCTTCCGCCATGCACAAGGTTCTGCCTGCCTCATGCATCATCCGTGACGCCCGGGCTCTCAATAAGCGAGCAAAACGCTATGCTCCCCTCCGCTCAACGAGAAGCCCATTGACAATTCTCAGCCAGTCGTCTCCATGGGCTGTGCATGAGGAGCACCACGGCAAGAATGCACAGAAGGTTGCATGCAAACCTCTCAACTCATTCCACGTCAATAAGCAGTGTGGCACCATGCCTGGGCTTTGCAACAATGTCGGCTGGCGCTTCCCCGAGAGTCCTCCCATAAACACCGCACGTGGTCACAGTAAAGAAAAAGCAATGCCTCCAATCCGGCTGTCATCCCGCGGCGGAGATCAAAGCACAACCCAACAAAATGCCGCAAACCATCACATATTTCACACAGACCATCGACAGCTTACGCGGCAAATGCACAGCACGGAAGAAGTGTCATGCCCACAAACACGCAACAAACAGAAACAGACAGGGTTGGGGGAAGCAGCACCCGAAGCCATTCTTTGTGAATGCAAATGACAATAGCACCAAACAACGTGAAGCGCCAGTCGGGCACCACATATGGGCCACAGACACACACACCCGCCCATTCACTCTTCCTCCTCCCAATGGCGTGGCCCTCCTGCACCTCCACAAACACGCCTGTCCCTCAGTTATGTGTGCCTCTGACGTAAGCACTCAAGTGGCGTTTCGGCAATCCGAAATTCAGCACCTCAGAAAAACAGAGGACATGCTCGCAGAGGCCACACGGCTCCTCAACGCACCCTCAGGCCCTCCTCACGACTCTTCAATGCGGCGGAAAGGAGTACAGGCGGCTCTAGTGTCACAGAGGACGGCCAATGGGAGCGGTGTCCAAAGCGCAGAAAATGCCAAGGTGTGAAACAGAAGAGGCGGTGGGAGGGCCCGCAGGAGACGTCACCTGCCACGCCTGGCATGCGCCTTCTCATTCGCGCAACGGAGAACCAACGACACGGTTGTTGCGGTGCCTGCCCGTGCGTGCAACTCACACTCGGGCCAATGAACGCCTCAAGGAACATCCTGCCGAGGAAATGCAGCTGGCCGTGCAAACAATCCCGAGTCTCATCAACGTTCCAGCAGCCGCTCTTTTGGCGAGGCGTCGCTCTCTTTCTTCCTTTTCTCCAGTGTGCCATCCTCGTATGAAATGAAAATGCCTTCCACAACTGGTGTCATCAAGCACCTCCAAGTAAATTAGGAAGGATTCACGGCCTCGAGAAAAAGCACCCAAAGTGGCAGTCAACGTGAACTCAGCAACGCATGCCATCGTCTGCAGCCGCGTGCATTGCAACTCCCCTCAGCCGCCCACTGTTTCTTCCTTCATTGTAGACCCAAACCGCACGGTACACTTGGATTTGCTCGAATCATCCACAGGCTCGCGTAACCGTGTCCACCACGCCCGTGCGGCTCGTGACAGCATCGCTTTCCCGTCCACTTCTGCGCCACCGAATAGCGTGGAATAGAGATCCAAAACACCAAATCTGCGAGGCAAACATACATGCATCGCTCCAACGAGTACCACTGTGAGAAATCACACGACAGCACACTATCTCTCGCTCTCCCATCAGCGATTGGCCGTCAACAATCACGACGGCATTGAGAAGCAGCCTCGGGGCAATCCCTGAGAGCCGTCCCCACCTCGGCGAGCGACCCACTCCGGGAACCCTGCACTCCAGTGCCGTTCCGGGAAAAACTCCTGCCACCGCCAACCGTGTTCCCCTGTCGCGTTAGCGCACGGAGCCCGCCTCAGAGAAACAAAAACACGCTCCATTCAAAAAGTGGCTATGAGAGTGCAAGCAACAGGCGCGGGGCGCACCACCGCATTTTCCAGTCTCAATAGAGCGTCCGTGCCAATTTGCTGCAGCACTCACAGTTGTGCCTCTATTGTTTCCCTCGTGCTTCCCCAAATAAATCCGATGGATCCGCACTGCGGTAGCGCGTGCCCTCATACCTCGTGGTGCCACAACTGTGTCCCGGCACGACGCGGCTGTTGCTGGCGCTGGTCGAATACCGTCAGCGCTGCGCCAACAACGATCCCGTGAGGGAAAAATTGCTGGCTCCTAAATTCTCCCGACAATACGGGGTGCTGGGCCCTGGCGCCGCGGTGAGGCAGTCAAGCATAAAATCGCAAGGGGAAGCAACGATGACGCAGGCACAAGGAAGCCATTCCACCCTCAATTAAATATGGCGCCCCACCCCAAGCAGTCACAAGGAGCGCACTGTTTCCACAAAAGAACTTGTTCGTCGTCCATCCCTTAAAGATGCTTCGTTTAATGATGGGCCTTAGAACAAAAAAATAAGATAAAATAAACAACGTAGTAATACTTCATCACCGCTGGCCATAATCATTCTCTCATAACAGGGCAATTTCCCCACTATGCCTCGTATGCACACACAGAAATCCACATGTATGAAACAACCCGCAATGTTTTTCTACCAGAAACCAAACTACCCCGTTCCCTCCATAATCTCTTCTTCGTTCACTGTTACGATCGCTCGCGTTGGACATTTTCCGCATCCGTGTGTGATGCTGCCGCCTGATGCTGGTGTATCTGCACTGTATGCACACACAGGCATCCAACCATATGAAACAAGCCCCAATATTTGTTACCAGAACTCAAACTACCCCCGCAATTCCCTAATTTGTTTTCCTATTTATTCCTTTAATTACTCCTCAATTCTAAAACCTTCTTGGGGCGTCTCTGGATAATATTGACACTTGGTACTGGCGCCCTTTCCCTTCCAGAATGCCGCAATCCTCTGATCTTCCTCCTCGCTCACAACATCGGTATTGACAACATCACATCTCTGTCAGTCATTCATCGGCGTGCTGTCTGCCTGCTGCACATAAATAATCTCCCACGACAGTTTTCGCGATAACTCCTCCCAGCCATTAAAATATGCCGTCAGATACTCAGTGAACTGTCTCACAGGGCTGGCGGTGGTGTGGTGCCCACCCGCCGTAGCCATCCGCAGCCCAACCAGCGTCATTGGATTTGACTTCACAAAGAAAAAGCCGTCCACCAGCGGAAAGTTTTCCACCTCCGTTACGTACAGCACCCCGCACTCCAAATCAATCCTCTCAGAAACATGTTCCAGTGGCGGTAAGACATGGTGCCTGGTGGAGCGCTCCCGTGAGTACACCGCCAGCGCACAGCGGTGGGACTGACGTTGTGGTGATGGCCTCAGCTCCCTCAGTCTGCGTTCTATTGCACGCACAAAAGATCCATTCAAAAATGCAAACACGGTGCACCTTCCAAAATTTTCTGATATGAGATAATCCCTCAGCCACGATATGAGCAAATTAAAATAATTCTGCTGCATTAACTTCGCCGACTTGAATAATGTTTTATTTCCGAGGTGAGCAGACACCGGTACATTGGAAAAAAATTCAGAACCGAAATTTTCACCTCGTACTCGGACAACCCTCGCAACCCAGTAGAGCACCTTCGTACGATACCAGGATACATCACGTCCCAAACCACTGTATTGCGCGATTACAGAAGAGGTCGCCTCATCGACGGTCTTGTGACACCGTTGAACCCAATTATCATACTTTCGCCCGTCAAAGATATAACGTGGAATAGGTCCCACTTCATCCATTCGGCTCTTCACCACCTTCCAGTACTCCGCTTGCTCCCGCACGGGCTGATGGCGCCTCATCCAAACGCACATCGCCTTCACATCGCTTTCACCAGGGCAATCCATAACTATTTCTGTGGCGTCGCTCCGCTTCACCCATTCTTTGTAGTTACTCTCGAATGGGGGTGACACCAAAACCATGCCCCATCCCCTGGGAGGCAAATCGTCAGACGGCGCATCATCCGGCTCTGCCACGTCGTGGATAATATACCCCTTCATCCCACGGTCAGACATAATCCACGCAACAGACGCATTACTGAAGTCGCCCATGTACGTCGACACCGTCCTGCTGGTCTTGTCAAACAGAAATGTTCGATCCGCAATAAAGTAAACAACCATTTGGAGTTTATTCACGTCGTATTGCAGCAGCTGGTAGAGGAGGTACGAGCCGGCAGCCATCGACTTCCCGATCCCGGGCGTCCCAACCAACACACGTCGCTCGGGCGTAAAGTCGGTCCCACGGTGAGTGCTGAACCACGCGGTTAGATCGCCCTTGACGATCTGCCACACTCGCTCCACCTCACAGTTCACGTAGCAGTCACGAGTGGATTCCACCCCCTTCCGATTCCATGTGCACGGCCATGCCTTGTCCGAGGTGAGCACCATCAGCCTGAGACGCGCCGCACCGGACTGCTGCGCACCGTCATCCTTTTCGAGAGTTCGGCCAACTTTCTTGTAAGTCCATTGCTGTGGTGGTCTTCCCTTCTTCACTTCCATTCCCGTCCCCTCGCCACCAGGAACTTCCACGACATGATGCCACCTCGCATTGTACACAGACTCGTAGCATCCCTCCAGTATATTCGATGCACTCATCCTCATTGGGTTCCTCACTTCCTCAAGGAATGCATCCAAAGATTCCTTAGTGATCCAATGAACAATTTCTTTTACCTCCGGAGTAGCTAATGACCACCCCAGCAGAGTACTTACATGCTTATAGTGGAGCTTCTTTACATCCTCTTCCATATTCACTTCACCCTTTACAGTGCACTCCATACTCCAATAACAATGTGTTGTCTTTATTTCGTTCAGTACTCCCTCATCGTGGATATACCTCGTGGGTTCCTTAAAAAACTCCTCCAGCAAAACACTCCGATTGGTGTCCACAACGCCCCTACCGCCCAGTTCCCTCGTAAGAAAGTCGTTCAGCCTCATTTCATTGACGCGAGCTCTTCCTTTAAACAGTACCTCTTCGATATTAGTGGAAATGGTAAATTTCATTTCTTGCGTTCGTCTTAGCCCTTCCTCTGCCTCCCGCCGCGCTTCTGTCAGTACCTGCGTGAGTACTCCGTTTGGTTTTCCCCTTGCAAGAGGAGTGATCGTATCCTTTTATTTCATAGCCCCTACGTTGCCCGAGAGAGAGCACACCTTCGTGAAGAGGCCTAGTAATGGCCTCCAGCGATTGGTGCGCAGTTAAGTTAAGGATTTCTTCAAGAAGCCGCTGCTCTTGTACGTAATCATCCGGCTCCTGAACAAACGCCTCCATCGTCACATTGTAGTCTTTCATCAACGGCCGCCCTGCCGCCAACATAATTCCGAAGGAAATCACTCAGCCTCATGTTGGTGCTGCTCATGGTCCACTGCGGCCACACTTTACTCTCCACCACGTGTCGAGCTGCAGCGTCGGAACCATCGCCGGAGATGCCACGGCGAGGTGCCATCACAACACCCGTGCGGTGAAGCATCCCACTCGCACCGCCCAATTGCGGCCAGCAGGTTCCAAAGGACACTCGCGGCTGTCTCCTCCCGCTGCCCCAATGGCGTTGGGCGTGGCACTCGCACGGCGGGACGGTCGGTGCGCAATGCAGCCGCACTGCAACGCCTGTCAGTAAAACAGTCAAGGCCCACCGCCTCCGCAGCAACACGAGGCGTGCAACCAACCCCAACACCGCCACACTATCGCCATTTTTTATTTTGTTTTATTCACGTTGTCGGTCTGTTTGCCCCATAACCGACAATAAAAATAAGGGCACACCTTCACAAAAAAACAAATAGAAAAGGAGGCACAATCCCACCGTCACGCCGCGGGCCAACACTCTCGTCCACCCACCGCCATTGCCGCACAGGAGACCGCAGTCACATCGCAGAGTCGGCACCACAATGCGCACCGCACCATCGTGCAGTGAACGATGGGCGGGACGCAGCCATGCATCGCCCCGCTCCATTTTACCACCACTCAAACGTTGCGTGCCCGCACAAAGTAGCAAACAGAATCAGAGTGCACACAAACCCAACAATCCCCTCACTCGCTGAAGCACATTATTCGCATGGAGTGACATCTAAGAACACACCAGCAGTAGCTGGCTGCATGGAATTTCCCTGCCAACCCCGCAAAGAGACACAACAACCCTGCGGAGTCACAGTGGCAGCCCGCGGTGTTGCCCGCAGTCCACATGGCAGGAAAAATTCCACGCACGCATAGTTTTGGACCCCATGCTGTTTGAGTGCCCAACAGAACATGTGGAAAAAACAACTGCGCGCAAGATGGAATTAAATAAGTGAAAAAGTCGGCCTGCTTTCTCCGATGGCGTTGGCGAGCAGTCCCACACAATCCAATCAAGGTAGCACGCCGGACAGAATGGCGTCCGTCAATCAATAAAAAAATGCGACACTGAAAGAGAGCAGAGAAGAGTTGGCGCATGCGACTGCCAGTGACAACTGTGAGCAAACCCGCCAGCACCAACTGAGATGCCGAGAAGCACGTTTGTGTAGAACTGGCCGTCAGGCAGAGAGGACAAATAAAACAAAAGGGCAGCAAACACTCTCGTTCAATGTCTCCTGACCGCAACAGCAGAATCAAAATACCATGGACGACAAGAGCGGCAACGCCTTCTCCAAAACATCTTGTCAAGAAGCCGCAGGACCTCAGGAAGGGAGGAAGGCAGCGGCGGCAGCCACAGCGGGGAAGCAATAAAACGGCTGGCAGGCACCCTCACGTCGACGCGCGCACCACATCCGAGTGGGCCGGGAGCACAGACCGAACCGCTCGGAAACACACGCATCAAATCCGCAAAACAAAGTCGCGTTGAATCGACAGGAACTCCCCGCCCAAAACAAATTTAAAAAGTGGCGTTTTTCAAGGGGGAATCCGCTTTTCCGACGACGGCACGGGCGCCTCGCAGGAATTTCTTGCAAGTCTCCCTTCGCGGGTCCGCATGAAAACGCAGCGGAATAAAAAGAGAGCGCAACGACGCAATAAAAACAATCCTCCTAACCGACCAGGTGGCAGGCTGCCCTCGCGCAAGTGCACAAAACACAACTTCACTCCGGTCTTGTGGTGGTGGTCGTCTCGCAACATTTTTTTTCCTTCTCGTCGCAGCGCACATCCCCCTCCCACAAATCATTTGTTCGGGCCATGCTCCTGCGTCCAAACATCGCGCTGCTGGATCCCGCGGCACAGTCCTCGGCACAGAAGTGAGGGAAGGAAGAGGGACCGCAGAAGGTGCTAGAAAATCCGAATTCGGTGGCGGTCGCTGCAGTGAAGACTGACGTCCCACGCGGTGTCCCTTTTCTAGGTCCGGTTCTCACCGTGCCATGCTCTCAGCGTGCGGTGCGCCGGCCGCTCCAAAAATCCACACGTGCTTGCGTCTCACCGTCGCTCCCAGCCCCGTTCGTTGGCTGCATCAGTGATGTCGCCATCTAGAGACGGGCATAAGGACGTTGCATCCAACAAAACCTTCAGAGGCACCCGGTGGGCCAACGACGACCGTCACTGCGGGATGTGTGGCTCTTCCGCCGCTCACCTCAAATCGCACTTCCACGCCTCCTCGAGCAGCAGCAGCATAAATACACCGGTCCACTAGAGGCCGTCACCAGCCATTGCAGGAAGACCACTGCGCCTCGGTGCTATAAAACCCGAATTGCATTGACGGTCCACTTCGGAAAATCCTCTCGCATCCTCCCCCATTATGCGGAAACACATCCATCGTGCATGTGGCCACCGCAGCCAAATGAATCCGGTCCAAACACCCTCCAAATCAAATTCCCCTTTCCTCAAGCCATTCCCTCATTCCATACGCCCTGACCCTCATCCGCACGTGCCCACTCACACAAACCGCAAAAGAATGGTGGCCGCCCAACGCTCCGGAAAAACATGCCCAGTACGCACACACGCACAAAAAATGACATGCGCAACCGCACGGCACAACGGCGGAGAAGCGCACACCGAAGGGATGCGGCCCTCCACAGCAGTCGCAGCCCACCGCGCGCATCACACCCGCAGGAAGAGTGACTCGCGGTGCGCGCTCCCTCCCCCTCCCCTCCCTTCATGTCCACGGAATGATGAAGCAGCAGCCACCCGCAATCGCCAGCACACGCTACAAAAGAAGCATCAAAATCCACTGCAATGTGCATTTTGTGCGTGCATTTGGTTGTGTGTGCCTGCAGACACACGAAGCAAAGAAGTAAAAACAGGAGCAGAGCATGTGAAGGGACGCACAAAAAAAAATGTACGGCAGAAGTGCATGGCAGAAATAACAGGACTGCCCAAACTCATGATATTGCACTGCAGACCAAAGCAGCGACAATTCATAAAAAATTATTTAAATTAAAAAAAATTCATCTTCACCTTCCACCCCTCACACTTTGAAAAGAATTTAAAAAAATGAAAAAAAAAAGAAAATGTCGTCCTCTATTACGGCTAAACACAAATAATAAAAAAGGAAAAAAAAAACCACACAAAAAAAAAACTACCATGTTGCTCCAGTAATTGCCTGAATATTTTGTCCGAAAATAAAATTAAAAAGATATTTAAATGTCTTTCAACCGTCTGACCCTCCATGTGTCCGCACATCGTTTATATTTCATGGGGCCATCTGCGTGTTGCCGCTCCCCTCAGCCCTCCCATCGGCGCGTGAGTGCGGCCCGCAGAGCACAGTCACTCGTGTGTGGAGGCTGAGAGAAGCACGCAGACACGACAGGAGTCGCGTCTCTCCATCGGGAGAGTGAGCGCAGCAAAAGAAAAAACACAACATGGGGAGAAATACCCACGAGACCGACCCCGAAGAGGCTGCCAGAGCGTGAAATGCACACGCAAAGCAAAACAAATCCTTAGAGAAAAACACGGCGGCAGGGTGTGGCTGTGTGTGTGGCGCTGCGGGTGTCTGCCAGCCCTGGCCGCTAAAAAGCAAAACAAAACAAGAGGGAAAGAAATGTGTGCTCCGCCCACCGGCCCTCGTCGCACGCCCACACGTCACGGCTCCCTCAGCGCGCCGTTCGTCGCGGCCCCTCCTCATGCGTGCAGCAGGCGAGGCGCACAGGGCCGTCGTCGTGAGCGTGTCGGTGGTGTGCGAGTGGAGCAGTTGGGCGGGAAACACACGGCACCCCTCGCAGGAAGAGTGCAGCAACAAACAATTAAAGAGGGAAGAGTAGAAAAGAAAAACGTCCATAATGGTTGCCCCCAAAAGCAAAAAGAGAAGGGAAGAGTGGAGCAAAAAAGAAAAAACAGAAATAAAAATTTTAAAGCAAACAAAAATAATTAAAAACAAACATTAAAAAAACGTAAGAAATTATACTTCGAACAGAAAAGAAAATTTTTAAGCCGAAAAAAAAAACGCCCATGGTGGTTGCCATAAATCAAAAGGCAAAAGAAGGAAAGTACCAAATGAAAAAAGAAACTGTTATTTGCAAGGTAAAATTTGTTCCTAGCGGTGTGTGTGTCGGTGCAGGGAAGGGCGCAAGTGTTCCACACGGCAGCCGCACACTCCTCACGCAGCCGCAAACCCCCACAGTCCCAGCAGAAGAAGCAGCGGCAGCAGTCCACTCTCACGCATAGTACCAGCAACGCTGTTATCCCACTGCGACGAATTTAAAAGGCTGCTGCTGAGTGTCGCCGCCTCTGCTTCCTTGACCTGTGGATGGAGCCCATCTTGTCCCTTGCCTTCAGCGTTATGTGTTGCTGCATTTGCTGCGTCGGGGGTGCCCACAGAGAATTGGGTTGGTTGATCTGCCTGCATCATAGCCCCACCTTCCGTCCCCACCGTTTGTGCATCATCAGATGAGGAAGCACCAACATCAGTACTGGCGGCGCCTGAAGATGTAACAGATGCCGGCTGGTCCGCAGTTCCCTCCCTTGCTGGTTCGGGCTCTTCTGACCTCGACGCTGCTGGTTCGGATAGAGCGCCACCACTCGGAACACTGCTCGCGTTCAAAGTTGTTTGGTCCGTCTGCTGTGGTCCGGCAGTAGCAGGCGATGGCACAGTTGGCTGTGTATTTGTGGTCAC